ACACCAATACTCCTCACATTAGAAAAAGATAAACAGAAAGAATTTTGTCCAACTATTTTAAGAGGTCAGAGTTACCCTAGTACGCACACTATATAATGCCACAATAGAGAAAGAGAATTGCAGACCAATTCCCTTATAAACACAATGTAAAAATACTTAATAAAATTCTTGCAAACGAAATTTAATAATGAATCAAAAGGAGCATCTACCATGCTGAAGTAGGCTTCATCCCAGATATAAAAGACCTAGAGACCAATATTGGGGTTGAGTCTTCAAGCTGAAGATCAGAAAAGCAAAGCAGCCATGCCAGTGGATCTTATACCTAACCAGGTGAAATGGCAATCCTGTCTCCACAAATCCTCAGAGGCGAAAGGTTCTGAATTCCTGTCTCCTCCTTATTATATTCCATTCTACACTCAACCATATCACTCCTGTCTCCACCTCCCTAGTGCTGGGATTAAAGGCATGTGATTCCAGGTGCTAAGGTAAACTTTGTATGAGCTGCTGCCTTTGGGACTGGATGAATTTCATGTAGTCATTGTGGCCTTGAACGAACAGAGATCCGTCATTTGGGGGGCGCGGGGGCTGCGCATATATTTATTGAGATGAAACTCATGTAACAGAAATCATTACAAAATGAACAATTAAATGGTTTTTGCTGCATCCAATGGTGGACATCCATTACCTAGTTCCAGAACAGTGTGCCACCCCAAAAGTGACCCTGTCTACACTGAAAAACTCTGTCAAGTATCCTCCCCACTGCTCCTTCATTCTCCACTGCCATCTAGATTCTATACCTAACTAGTATGTATGCTTTGCTATTTTGATCTCCAGTGGCTTTAATAAATCAAAAACATTGTATCACCACATAGTTCAACATACATTCAGATAAATGTAATAAATCATATAAACAAACTGAAAGTAAAACTAACATGGTTATCTCAACAGATGCACAAAAAAGCCTTTGACAAAATCCAACATCCCTTCATGAAAAAAATTTACTGAAGAGATTTTGAATACAAGGGACACATCTAAGCATAATAAAGGCAATATACAACAAGTCAGTAACCAACATCAAATTAAATGAAGAGAAACTCAAAGCAATTTTACTAAAATCAGGGACAAGGCAAGGCTGTTCAAACTTTCCATATCTACCCAACATAGTACTTGAAGTTCTAACCAGAGCAATAAAATGGATAAAGGAAATCAAGAATCAAGAGTACAGAAATAGGAAGAAAAGAAGTTGAAATATCTTTATTCGAAACTATACATATATATATATATACATATACACACAAAATATACAAACAAATATATAGTGTATGATACGTGTGTGTGTGTATGTGTCTGTGTGTGTCTGTTTCTGTGTATTATGTACTGCATATTAGTGACCCTAAAAATTCCACCAAAGACCTCCTACAGCTGATAAACATTTTCACTAAAGTAGCAGTATAAAAATTAATACACAAATTAATACAAAACACAAAATTAATACACAAAGTAGCCTTTCTATACACAAATGACCAACTAAGAAAAAAATAAGGGAAGCAATCCCTTTCAAAATTGCCTCACATCCTATAAAATATATTGGGCTCATTCTAGCCAACCAAATGAACAATTTCCATGATAAAAAGGTTAGGACATTGAAGAAAGAAATTTCAGAAACTATCAGAAGATGGAAAGATCTACCATACTTATAGATTTGTAGACTTAATAGTAAAAATGACCATCCTACCAAAAGCAATATATATATTCAGTGCAATCCCAATGAGAATTCCAACAAAATTCTTCACAGAACTTGAAAGAACAATTTTCAGCTTCATATGGAAACACAGTTTCTCTCTCTCTTTCTCACTCTCTCTCTCTCTCTCTCTCTCTCTCTCTCTCTCTCTCCCTCTGTCTCTCTCTCTCTGTCTCTGTCTCTCTCTGTCTGCCTCTCTCTCTCTCTCCCACACACATAAGCACACACACACACACACACACACACACACACACACACACACACACACTCGGGATAGCTGAACAACCCTAAAGAATAAATGAACTGCTGGGTTTATCACAGAGATATATAAAAAAACCATGATATTGACATTAAAACAGAAACCCTGGTCAACTGAACTGAATTAAATAGTAAGACATTATTCAATGCAGTTATGGACAGCTGATTTTTACCAAGGAATCCAGAAATATACATTAGAAAAAGGCAACACTTTCAAAATGTGGTGCTGCTTGAACTGGATGGTTGCATGTAAAAGAATGCTAATAGTTGCATATTCTTACCACTCTGCATATCACTTAACCCCAAAACCTCAACATAAAACCGGATATCATGAAGACATAGAAGAGAAAGGGGCAAGAGGCTTTAACTCATTTGTACAGGAAAAGACATTCTGAGTAGTACACCATTATCACTGGGAGCAAGGACAGCAATTAATAAGGGGAACCTCATGAAGCTTAAAAGCAAATATCTAAAATATATAAAGAACCTAACAATATGATATAAAGTAAAACATCTCATTTATAAAAATGGGCTACAGATCTGAGGAGAGCATTTCAAAAGATGAAACAAAAATAGGTGAGAAACACGTAGTCCTTGGGAAATTGCACATCAAAACTACTTTGAGATTTCATCTTGCACCTGTCAGAATGGATAAGATCAATAAAACAAATGACAACTCATGCTGGCAAGGATGTGTAGTAAGTGGAGTTCACATCTATTGCTGATAGGAGTGCAAACTTGCACATCGGCTATGAAGATCATTGTGGACGTTCCTCAGAGAGCTGGGATTTGATATATCTGAAGATCCACATACACCACTCTTGGGCATATAACCAGGTGATGCTTTATCCCACCACAGAGACACTTGTTCACCCATGTTTATTGCTGCTCTATCAGAATTTCAAAAAATTTATAAACAAGCTATATGAGAAGTCAACATGAGCAAAGAAAATAAGGTACATCTATGTTATATATTACTCAGATGGTGTTCCAGTCCTAAGAATGAAAGTACACACAGGTCCACATCTGAACCCAGAAGGAATCCCCAAATGATAAACATTCGCAAATGAAAAATCAGGCTTTTCCAATAGAGTGTCGCTAGGTATGTAAATCAGACTGCCAACAGGAAATAATCTCAGTGCTATTTTTGAGTTGCTTTTTTGTTGTTTGTTTGTTGTCTGCTAACGATTTGAGCTATTGTTTTCTTTTTTATTTCTTACCCTATAGATCTTTTGATTATATATTATAGTTTCTGGTTTTGTATTTTTGTGGGATTTTTGTGTTTTCCAGTATGTGTTTCTCTGTATATTTAAGTCCTTATTGGGCTTTCCACTTTGGCTCCCTTTTTTTCTTGTTTGTTTCTTTGTTTTGTCCTGTTTTGGTTTGTTTTAGTTTTATCTTATTTTTTATTTTTCCACGTTTTAAGTAGCTATTTATCTTTTGATGAGAGAACAACAAATGGTGTAAATATGCATGTGCATAGATGGGAAGGTTGAAAGATCTGGGAGTTGGACAGCAGGGGAACCCCAATCAGAATATATTCTATTAAAATTTATTTCCAATAAAAATAACAAAACAAAATAAAACATTTCAGCCTTAGAATGACTATTAATGTATATTGAGAATATAAACTATTCCTCTCTCAGGCAGATGAAAGATAGGGCATCTATTGCTCTAGCATTCTTCCTGAAGAAAATTGAACAGGAAACTCTATATTAACTCCTTAGAAGATACTCTTTTGAGTATTGAACAAAATATTTCTCCCCCACGTCTCTCTGTTAAAGATGTATCTAAAGACAGAACCCCATCCCTTTCCTTGAATTATCTCAAAGTAGGTTGATAGTAGTATGTTTTGAAAACTTATTAGCACTCTCATAAAGGTTAAAGTTGCCAATGACCCTGACACTGATTTTGATGTTATCAGGAACTATCTTATCACTCGTGTCAATGGAGTTAGTAAGAAACACACAAATTGTATTTCTATCACTGTAAAGACTAGGAACCATACAATGACCAGCCCAGCAAGATGTCACAATGGGTTCATTGTTTTATCTTGGGGAGGACCAACAGCTGTCTAACTGAATGTAGGACTTACTTAGTAGACATGACATGACCTCAACCAGTTCACCCTTCCTTATGCAACCTAATTGTCTACTAGTTCTGGGAGGTTACCATATTGGTGCTGAAACTAGTGGGACTAGATTCACGTAATTCACTACAGTTCAGACCTCATGTAACTGGGACTATGGGTGTGTGCCATCATCATATCTATACATATACATGCATACATGCATACATACATACATACTTATGCATTTATAAAATGTGAAATATATATTAATATACATGAAAATATATATGAAAGTTAAGCCACTCTGGCTGACAAAGCTCCCTACAAGAACTGACAAAACATCTAATACCCACCATGAGAAATCTTTTTTCAGCTGGTGGGTTAAAGTATTCCGAATGACTGTCAAAACAATATGGAGTATTGATAGAGCTTGTGGCTGTTTCTCAGGAGTCAAGGGTGGACTCTTTTTGCTAAACATACCACACACTTTTAATGCATGACTCATGCAATTGGAGTTGAGTATGACATGAAACTCTCTTCCTTGGAAGGCAGAAGACAACTTGCAGTAGTCAGTCATCTTCCCCCGCCATGTATGATCCAGGAATTAAACCCAGGCCATTAAGTTTGCCTGCATTTGCCTTTCACCACTGAACCATCTCTGTGGCTCAACTCTGAACTTTTAATTCTCTTGCTTACACCTCCTGTGAACCACAGAGGCTGAAGGCAGTATTGGTGACTGAATTTAGAGCTTTATGTCTGTCCTATATGCACTCTATCAACTGAGCTGCAGTCCTACCTCCATATCTTATAATATTTCTTACCTTTATTTTCTCTTCTTTAAGTGAGAAACTAACCTTAGTTTCCACTAAATTTCTGACTTCTTCCATGCAGCTTCTCTATCCGCAGAATGCTACCAGTGCTCTCTTGGCTAGGTTTCTTCATAACGGCTTCTCTCCTAATGATTCTTTTTCTTAATAGCCATGGTGTCTGAGAAGGTGAGAATTGCAATTTAATTGTTCACTTCCTTCATCACTGTGGAAAATGATGTCATCAACATATCATTCAAGTATCAAATTCACTGAAAATGCTTTTCCTTCCCATGTAGACTCTTGGATATCTTCCATCCCAGGGATCATAGAATTAGTGACAAAAAAGCTTCCTTAAGAGTAGAGATAGTTATATTGCCTGTGTTTTATATTTAAGGATTAAATAATTAGAGTCTTGGCATTCTTGTGTGACTTTTATGTCCATTTTGTCTCATAAAACCAGTAAATGTATGAAAGAAATATTGAGAAAACTGGCTTCAAGTGGTAGCAGTTCTTTAATTCTTACTGAACAGTCAGTATGTATAGAATACATAAAAAATATTCCTAAAAATGTTGTGGTGAAAACAAAAAACATTTTTAATGGAAAACTTTTATTAACAGTGTTTCCCTAATATGGAACTCCAGAATCTTCTAGTTCTTATCAGTACAGTTGCTTTAACTACTTTACACATCAATAATTGTTTCCATTAAGATGCTGGCATACTGAGAGCTTTGATTAAACACTCATGGTGCATTAAACAATTATGAGATATACAGTTCCACTCTGGATGTATTTAATTGCTTTTGGAAAGCGTTAGTTAAAAACACACTCTTTTAAATACAGCACTAATAAAATTAACAAACATATTACAGAGCCAGATTTATATAAGAAATAATTGGTAATAAGAATTCAATGGAAGCAAACTGCAAAAATAACAGTTCTTTAACTTGCAGAAATCACTGCCACTTCCCATCAAAAGTATAGCGCAAAAGCTTTGAGGAGTCCAGTTGGTGCAATGCATGGATCAAAGTGTCAGGCTGATAGGATCAAAGGGAACAAGATGAAGTGGCAATGTTGTGTACCAGATTTGAAACTGTGGCAATGATGATGGGTTCTCACAGGCTGGAACTAGGAAGCTTTGATTAACAGACCTTGTTTGTACTGTGAGGGCATCAAAGTGGCAAATGCCTTATCAAATGGGGCAGAAGGCAATGGTTAATGGGCCATCACCACTCACTAGAATTTTCAGCACTGCAGTAGTGGAGGCCAAAGCAGGCATCCCATCTGCCACCTGGGAAAACGAAAGAAATGAAAAGGAATATTTTAATTTCTGGAAAGCTAGCTGATTATGACAACACTGAAGACTGAAAAAGCATAGTGCTTGTTGCATGAACCATGAAAATTAAATTACAGGTGTTTTTAGATCATAATACTATTACCAACTGTTCTTCATTTTGCTTCATATATTTCCCATCTATTCTGCAAAGCTCCATCAGATTTTTTTGTTCCCAAATTAGATTATCTTAGTATTTCAAGCAATGTAAGTCTGTATGGGCAAAGGATATTTCTGAGTGTGTATTTTCATTGGGGAGTTCGCTGCCTATACAGGACTGAAATAAATTTTAGTTAATTTTCATTTGTGATTCTGGGCTTTGGGGAATCAATTTAATTTTAAAAAATATCTTAAAGCATCTATCATTCATTTGATTCAATTATTTTTCTCTTCTCTTCATACTTAACAGAAAGCAGTTCCACTATTGGGCATATACCCAAAGAATGTACATTCATACAACAAGGAAATTTGTTCAACTTTGTTCATAGAAGCATTGTTTGAAATAGACAGAATCTGGAAACAACCTAGATGCCCCCCCAACTAAAGAATGGATGGGGAAAATATGGTGCATTTACACAATGGAATAATACTCAGTGAGAAAATAAAATGAAATCTTGAAATTTGCAGGCAAATGGATGGAACTGAAAGAAAACATCCTGAGTGAGGTTACCCAGTCACAGAAAGACAAGCATGAGATTTCATCCATAGCTGATCGAAGCTGAAGCAATCACCCACAGCTAAACACTGATCCATACTCCTGGAATCCAGTTGTAGAGAGGGAGGAGAGATGAGCAAAGTAGTCAAGACCATGCTGGAGAAACCTACATAGCCAACTGACCTGACCTAATGAGAGCATTCAGATCCTGGTGGTAAAGTTGGGGAACCAAATCCTCTGAAAGTGGGTGTCACTTAGGAGGCCTGGGCCGTCTATGGGGCCTTCAACAGTGGAACGAGTATTTATCCCTAGGGCCCAAATGGACTTCTGGAGAAATCCCTGTGGAGGGATACTGTTTCATCCCAGATACATGGAGAAGGGCCTAGGCTCTCCCCAAAATGATGTCCACATAGAAGGTCTAACTGTCCTTGGGGAGCAGGTGGGACTGGGTTGGAGGGGTTGGTAGGGGACATAAGGAGGATGGGAAAGAGAGGGAACGGGGGGATTTATACTTAAAATGATTGTAAAGAAAAAAGAAAAAATACAGAAACAATACATTTTAGTAACATAACAGTAAATTTAAATATCATGCTACAGAGTGCAGCCTCTATGTCCACAGGAATCTTTTGGTTATTTACTCTTTCTGATTCTAAAACTTCCTAAAACAACAGAGTTCTTAGTATGCTTGAATTATTCATTTGTTCCGCACTTCAAGAAGCATAAAAGTCAATGAGGTATGGTACTCTTCAAGTATGGATCTTGCCCAGTGGAATATTAGCATACATATCAAAGTGGAGTTATAGAGTATGTTCAGAGATTTTGATTTTCACACTTGCATTTTTGCCATCCATGCTTATAAATGTTTGTATGCTTATGTATGTGTTGTGCCTAGGTTCATGTTTATATGTGTTCAGGATGCAGGTACACATATATGTACATACATTTAAAGATCAGAGGCAAATTGCAGGTGGTATACTGAAAATAGCATAAACCTGGTTTCTGTAACGAGGTTTCCCAGTTTACAGGGAAGTCAAGTACAGGGTTCCATCTATCTGCATTTCCTCTGTGAACCACTTCAGTATCAAAATCAGTTTTCTATAAGGGGGTCTTACTGGAAATATTAACAACACTTGAGGGTATGCTCCTTGCCCAGGAGTAGTTCATCAATACTCAAACATACAAATAAAATTCAAACAAATGAAATCCCTCCATGGTAATTTGTAGAGTTTTTTATTTTGTTTGTTTTTCTTTCTCACCTTCTTTTTGCTTGCTTTTTCTTTAAAAAAGAGAATAATAAAGGACATGATCTACGTAGATGGGGAATTGGGGAAGCAGGAAGAATCTGGGAAAAATTTGGAGAGAGGAAAGTGTGAACTGAATACACTGCATGAAAATATTTTTCAATTAAAAAAGGCAGAAAAAAACCAACCTTGTCTTCATGCTTTCTCAGCAATAACACTGCTGACTGAATCATCTCTCCATGTTCATTTTTCCATCCACTACAAAAGGAATATGATCAAGATAGTGACTGCTCTCAGACAATAAGCATATCATGGAGCAGAGGGAAATCTAATATAGGTGCTGTATAGCAAGTCCAGGTGACCTTTAACTGAGTTTTTCAGAGTTAAGAGTTACTCAATGAAATAGTAGTGGTACTGGTGTCAACTAACAAACTACAGTATTTGGAAGCAGCTCTTTAAAATGTAAGTGTTGCTACCTGTACAAAGAGAGTAGTGTTGACAAAATAAGTACCTGTCTTTCAGTAAATGAATTATTACTTTAAGCAGTATTTAGAACTGTTCTCAAGTAATAGGGTTTCATACATATTGACCATGGTCTTCTATTTTACCCAAAATCGCTTTGCCTTCATTCCTGACTTGAGAGGACTTTTGAGAAATCTTTTCATAAATTGCTCTCACAAGATTAGCAGTGGGGTGGAAGCAATCACTGTGGGTATAATTGAAAACTGACACTCAACAAGTGATAGCAACCCTTTTGTGTTTTTCAGAAATCTATGACTTGTATTTTTTGTTTGCTTTGGCTTTTGTTTTGGTTTTCTCGGACAGGGGTCTTTGCCAAACTGTTTCTATGAGGCTTCAATAACCTTGATACCCAAGCCACACAAAGACACAACTAAGAAAGTGAACTTCAGACCAATGTCCCTCATGAACATTGATGCAATAAAGTACTGGCAAATAGATTCCAAGAACACATCAGAAATATCATGCATTATGATTAAGTAGGCTTCATCCCAGATATGCAGGGATGGTACAACATACGAAAGTCCATCAATGTAATCCACCCCATAAACAAAATGAAAAAGAAAAACCACATGATCATCTCATTAGATGCTTAAAAAGCCTTTGACAAAATTGAACACCCCTTTATGATAAAGGTCTTGGAGAGATCATAGATAACAGAAACATACCTAAACATAATAAAAGCAATATGCAGCAAACCATCAGTTACCATAATACTAAATGGAGAGAAATTCAAGGCAATTCCTCTAAAATCAGAAACAAGACAAGGTTGTCCACTCTCTTCATATCTGTTAAATATTGTATTTAATTTCTTGCTCAAGCAATAAGAAAACAAAAGGAGATTGGGTGGATTCAAATTGGAAAGGAAGAAGTAAAACTCACTATTTACAGATGATATGATAGTCTACATAAGTGACACGAGGAATTCTACCAGGGAACTCTTACACTAATAAATATTTTCAACAAATTGGAAGGAAACAATATTAACTTAAAAAATTCAGTAGCCCTAAGATATACAGATGATAAATGGGCAGAGAAAGAAATCAGAGAAACATTACCACTTACAAACGCCACAAATAACATAAATTACCTTGGGTTAACACTAACCAAGCAAGTGAAAGACCTGTATAGCAAGAACTTTGAGTCTTTAAAGAATAAATTGAAGAAGATGCCAGAAAATGGAAAGATCTCCCATGCTCTTAGATAGGCAGGATCAACCTAGTAAAAATGGCAATCTTGCCAAAGGCAATCTACAGATTCAATGCAATCCTCATCAAAATCTTTGCACAATTATTCACACACCTTCAAAGGACCACACTCAACTTTATATGGAAAAGCAAAAGACCTAGGATAGTTAAAACAACCCTGAAAAATAAACGAACTTCCAGAGGATTCACCATCCCTGACTTCAAGCTCTATTACAGAGCTATAGTTCTGGAAACAGCTTTGTATTGATACAAACATAGACTTGTAAACCAATGGAATCTAACTGAAAACCCTGATATGGACCCACATACCTATGAACACCTGATTTTTGACAAAGAAGTTAAAATTATACACTGGAACAAAGAAAGCATCTTCAGCAAATGAGGCTGGCTTAACTGGATGCTGGCATGTAGAAGACTGCAGAGAGGTCCATGTCTATTGCCATGTATAAAACTTAAATCCAAATGTATCAAAGACCTCAACATAAATCCTTTAAACCTGTAATGGCTACACTGAAAGAGGAAAAAGTGGGAAGTGCCCTTGAATGAATGGATATAGGAGACCACTTCCTGAGCATAATGCCAGAGGCCCAGTCTTTGAGATGAGCTCTAAATAAATTGACCTCCAGAAACTGAGAAGCTTCTGTAAGTCAAAGAACACAATCAACATTACGGAACGTCAGTCCACAAAATGGGAAAAGATATTCACCAACCACCCATCTGACAGAGGGCTCATTTCCAAAATCTACAAATAACTCAAGAAGCTAGTCACCAAATACCAAATAATCCAATTAAAAAGTGGGACACAGAACTAAATAGAGAATTCTCAATAGAAGACTCTAAAATTGATGAAAGACACTTAAGAAAGTGCTCAACATCCTTAACTATCAGGGAAATGCAAATCAAAACAACTCTGAGATGTCATCTTATTCCTGTCAGAATGGCTAAAATCAAAAACACTAGTGACATTTTATGCTGGAGAGGATGTGGAGGGAGGGGAACACTCTTCCACTGCCAATGGGAATGCAAACTCTTACAGCCACTATTGAAATCAATATGGCGGTTCCTCAGGAAAGTGAGAACCAGTCTACTTCAAGATTGACCAATTTCTCTCTTAGGCATATACCCAAAGAATGCACATTCATACAACGACATCTGTTTAACTATGTTAATAGAAGTATTATTGGTAACAGTCAGAACCTGGAAGCAACTCAGATACCCCTCAACTGAAGAATGAATAAAGAAAATGTGGTATATTTATACATTGGTGTACTACTGAGCAGAAAACAAAAAGCAATGGAAACTTGAAATTCACAGGCAAATGAAGGAACTAGAAGAAACCATCCTGAGTGAGGTAACCCAGTTACTAAAAGACAAACATGGTGTGTACTCACTCATGTATGGGTTTTACATATAGAGCAATGGATTACCAACCTACAATCCACACCACCCAGAGAAGCTAGGAAACAAGGAGGACCCAAAGAGTGACATACATGGTCCCGCATAGAAGGCAAAATGGATGAGATCTCCTGAGCAAATTGGGAGCATGGGTGGAGGGGAAAGGGAGATAGCAGAAAGAGAAAAGGAGAAGAGTAAGGGACAAGAAGAGAAGACAGAGAAGGAATTTTAAGTCCAGGGAAGAATGGAGAAGAACAAGAAAAGAGATACCATAATAGAGGGAGCCATTACAGGTTTAAAGAGAAATCTGTCACTAGGGAAATGTCCAGAGATCTACTAGCATGACCCCAACTAACAATCCAAGCAACAGTCAAGAGACTACCTTAAATGCCCTTGTCTGATAATGAGATTGATGTTCACCTTATATGCCATCCTAGAATCATCATTCAGTAGCTGATTGAACCAAAAGCAGATACCCATAGCTAAACACTGAGCTGTACTCCTGGAATCCAGTTGCAGAGAGGGAGGAGTGATAAACAAAGGTGGCAAGACCAGGCTGGAGAGACCAACAGAAACAGCTGACCTGAACAAGGGGGAGCACATGGACCCCAGATTGATAGCTGGGAAACCAGCATAGGTCTGTTACAGATACCTTGAACACGGATGTAAGTTTGGAGTTCTGGGCAATCTATGGGACCTTTGGTAGTAGGTCAGTATTTATCTCTAGTACATGAGTGGACTTTGGGAACCCACACCACATAGAGGGATAATTTCAGCCTAGACACACAGGGGAGGGTGTAGGCCCTGCTACAAATGATATGACAGACTTTGAACATCTACCATGGAAGGGCTCACCTTCCCTGGGGAGCAGAAAGGGGATGGGATAGGGTATTTGTGGGGCCAGGGGAGGAGGGGAGAGAGAGGGAATTTACATTGACATGTAAAACATGCTTGTTTCTAATTTAAATTAATAAAAGAATACATAAGGAAAAAATAATTTCATTTTGGGGAACATGGACTAGCTCAAAGAATAACTGAGACATTGCTAAAAAGCTTTTATTTGACAATTAAAATTAATTTAAGCCTGGCGGTGGTGGCGCACACCTTTAATCCCATCACTCGGGAGGCAGAGGCAGGCAGATCTCTGTGAGTTCGAGGCCGGGCTGGACCGACAGCCTCCAAAACAATACAGAGAAACCCTCTCTAGTAAAACCAAAAAATAAATAAATAAATAAAAATAAAATGAATTTAAGAGGCGCACAGTCATCTTAAAAACTGAAAGACAGTGATCTCGTGTGTGTGTGTGTGTGTTTTGTTTGAAATGAAGGCGTTATTTATTTGAACTCAGAACTTTGTGAATTTTCAGTCTTTTCTTTGTTGAGACATGACATGAAAATAAAAGGTCTGGCTTCACACTTACCTTGTAGCTCAGGGTCCTCTCAGCTTAGAAATCATGCTGTCCTGAGAATTCAAGAAACTGTGCTTTGAGAAGTGTGCCATCACACCCAGCTAGTGCATATGTGTTTAAGCATGAAAGCAAGTAGTGTTAATATCTGAGTTCCAAAGGATCACATTCTAGTCATCTAACCCTCAAAGTATTTAACATTAAAAAGAATATATCTTATAAGGAAAATGAACAATTCTCTTCCTAATGTTGACCTATATACTTCACTTTCCTGCTATTTCTGTTAAGCACAGGGCAATATTCTTCATTAAGAATTGACAATACAATGTCAGTTGACCTGTGTCTGATAAATTCATGAGGACAGTGTTCAATGTTGTGAACATACCCAAAATTATGAATCACTCCCACACATAACTGTGTCAGAAAGACTTCATCAAAACAGAACACATAGTAAAGTATTAGTTAAGACTCCTTCAAGAGAGAAATATATAGTCTACAGTACTCAATTATAACCCTTCCTTGTTTAGTTATTCAAATTTTTATACTTGTTCTGAAAAGCATTGCTCAATTTGATAGTAAAAAGTAGCATACTTTATATCTATGTATAACATAAAAGAAATCATATTCTTTAATTTAAAATGAATGTGGTAACTTAGAAAGATGTAGTAAAATAGTATCAATTTAAAATGTCCACTGCACAAGTTGGGTTAGGTTTAAATTAATTAAGAGCC